TATTAATTGTGCATAATTACTCAGCTGTGGTATACCATGATCACGAGCTGAAACATATGATATAATGAAATAATAATAATAAATCTATGAACAAACCTGTAATTGATATTGAATATGAACGTATTTTTTCATAGTCTAAAGATTTGATTAAATATAATTCTCCTGTATATTCATTTATACGAAATGTTCCTGTTGAATCTTCTATTGAATAACTAATTCGTGTATTTTCATATTCATCACGATCACTTGCATGAATTTGTAAAATTATTGTATTTATTTTATTATTTTCAGCTATAGATTGTTGATACAACGAACGATCAAATACTGGTGGATTATCATTGACACTAAAATTTAATTTTTTATTTAAACAAAATAAAAAAAAAAAATGCAAAATTAAAATTTTAAAACATACTCAGTTATAAGAATTTCAATTCTTTGTTGACCTGATAATGGTGTTGAACCACCATCATCAGCAATTAATTGTAATAAATAATTTGATTTTATTTCACGATCTAATGATTCAATTAATTTTAATATTGGTTTATTTGTTTGTATTAAACGAAACGGATTATTTATTGATGGATGTAATTTATAATTTTGTATTGAAAATATACCATAATCATTATCAATAGCTGATTCAAGTGGAATTTCATAACCAATTGGTACATTTTCTGCAATTGATAATTTAATAAATGATTGTTTAAATGTTGGAGCATGATCATTAATATCTAAAATGATCAAAATTTTTGTAACAAAAAAAAAAATAATAACTTCCTATTTTATTACCTTCAATAACAATTTGTATTGTACGAATTGATATATTATTTGTTGAAAATGTTTGTAAAAAATTTAATGTTAATAAACAAAATGAACAATTACATAAATTTTTTTCACAAAATTCTTCACGATCAATACGTTTATTTGTTGTATATAATGATTGATTTTGATTTAAATTAAAATAAATTTTATAGACATATGATGATGGTAACCATTGTAGACTATTAGTTGATGATATTGATTGTATTAATAATGTATTTGGTGGAAGTTCTTCATGAATATATATTATCGATGTATTATTATCAGCTGATATTAAATGAAGGATCATTAAAAATAGTATGAGCATTCTTTTATATATATATCTAAAATACAGATGTGAATGACTTGATAGAAACACGCACATAGAAATAGATGCATGTTTTATAATTGAAGATGAAGTTGTCATCATAATTGTTCTCTCTTCTTTTCATTTTACTTTTGTGACGACTGATGTAACATCAGACTTGAAGAGCTAAGAAGCCGATGAACATTGTCTNGTAATTGTATTCCTATCTACTCTATTACAAACTATATATACATATATATACTCCCCTCTGGCTGAACTACTTGAATGACAAAACCGTTGACGACATATATAGAAGAAACATTTTTTTTTGTTCTCTCTTATTTTCATTTTACTTCGATCTCAATAATAAAAAAAAGAAAATTTTTTTAATACTTTACACGATAATACCAATGTCAATAAAACGTCTACTGTCTCTTTTCGATTATAAACTCTAACCGATTCGATGACCGATCATAAAACGAAAAGAAATTTTTTTTTTTTTTTGTGATTTATATACTTTCAATGTATATCAAACTATTTAAATGAATAGATGGGAAAAGCTTCATATTTACTTGTGAAAAGAAATTAACAAACAAAATTTTCAAGGTTTTATCACGTTGGAAAAAGAAAACTGAATGCATTAACTAACATATAGATGTTAAAAAATGAAAGTCGACACTTACTGTTCGATGTGACGTTGCTATGTAAAGACAATGTTCATCGGCTTCTTAGCTCTTCAAGTCTGATGTTACATCAGTCGTCACAAAAGTAAAATGAAAAGAAGAGAGAACAAAAAAAAATGTTTCTTCTATATATGTCGTCAACGGTTTTGTCATTCAAGTAGTTCAGCCAGAGGGGAGTATATATATGTATATATAGTTTGTAATAGAGTAGATAGGAATACAATTACATGTATGTATGTATGTATGTATCTTACACATATGATCTAATTCATGTTTTCATATATTGAAAGAAAGAAATGATATTTTCTTGTTAATTATTGTTCAATATCTCACCTAGATGTCGAAAATAGATTTATTTGTTTTCTTTGTTTTTCGTCAGATAGAAATAAAAATTCAAAACAGCAGGAATGAATAATGATGATGGTCACAACTGTGTTTTTGTTCGGACAAGAAAAAAAAAACCAAGAGAAAGAGAAAGTGAGATTGATCTCTCTCTCATCTTTTTCTCTTCTTTCTAGGTGTGTATGTACGTACGTACGAGCTGGTTCCTTTTCTCTCTATTTCGTGTATATTGTTCAGCCGAAGGGAAGAAAATGAACTTTTTCCCTTTTCTTCTTCTTCTTCTTTTTTTTTTTATTAATTTGGTTCTCTCTCTCTCTCTCTCTTTGGCGTATAGATCTCAACCTCATTAAATTAATCACTTTTACATTCGCTTCATTTAATATTGAAAGTTTAGGTACAGTCAACGGCACAACGATAACCATGTATGAACCGAAACTGACAATTTAATTGACTTTAAAGATATTGAGACGGTAGAAGGGTGGAAAACAGGTGAAAAAAAAAATTTGATCTTTGTCTCTATATATAAAATGTCGGTGTAACATCAGAGAGATAAATATTTTCGCATCACGGTCTTTCAATCATAAAAACACATTTTATATTTACAATTGATTGTTTCATCGATCAATATAGACATCGATGACATCATAAAATGTTATTTCAATTGATCTTGTCGTCATTTTATAACTAACTAAGATATCGATCATTTGATGATCAATAATCATATATATGTATATATATATCTATCTAGAAATCGTAGTAAATAGATATTTAGGGAAAGAAAATGAAGCAGTTATTTCCGCCATGTGTCACATCGATTTGCTCTTCTAATCAAATTGACCATCTCATTGAAAAATGATAGAGAAACCCTAAATTAGACCTATATGACACTTGTTCACTTTCTTCCGGCTGAACTAACCTGTAGAGGGAAAGATGACCATCTGCAATATACATATACTTGTTTTCTACCTGTTTCAATAGATTTTATATCTCACTTATATTCAAATGAATGAATGAATATGATTGTAACTTCACGCATAAACACGTGCTAGTCATTCATATTAGAAAGACAAATGATAATGATAACATCAAATTTATATATGAAATATAGTTATGAAATGATAAATACTAACCTATTCATTTTTACTATCTTATTAAAAGAAATCCTATCATAGATCATTATTTAAACAACTCTTTTCCTCTGTCTTTCTCTTTTTTTAATAAAGGAAAAAGTAGATGAATGCCGCAGGCCGGAAGTTAATGCTACAAATTAAATAGAACGACGTCGAGTACTTCTAAAAGAAACTTTCTTTTTTTCCCTTTATTTAAAAGTAACGTATAAATTCTCATGTCTACAATCGTTTATCATATATTAAGAAAAAAAAAATGTATTCACCTGAACAGATGGAGATTTCGTCTGGTCAATGATCATCATTTGGCATTCTCGTGTGAGCTATAAATCTTGTCCACACATTCGTTGGTCATTTTTCTTCACCCTACCTACATGTATATGTGAATACACGCGTGTCAGTGTCAATGTCTATATGGACATTCACGTCACTTGACATTTGTTCTTGAATACAGGCGAATAAAAAAAAAATACAAAACAAAAGATTCAATTCGTTCTCTTTTGTAAAATATAATTTACATCTTTGGTGCCATAGTATATAAGCGCGGTATTGATCTGCTCAAAGGTACCATAAATATGTGTACAGTCGCACTGTCTATCCATCGGGATTCAATGTTTGTATGCTTATACTCATTAGAGAAATCGTCGTGGACGTATTTGTCATCACACAACAGTCGCGTGAATGAACAATAGGATCAAAAGAAAAGCGCCTAGGCTCTGGTACACATACACGCGAATAAAAGACTTATGCTCATGACTCTCTTGAAAAAATAGACTTGGCCATTTCATCCTCTGTTTATTTCAACAACATTAAAACACTTATCAATTTCAATCGATAAACATATATTTCCTGTCTATTTCAAACTAAAATACTTGAGACGGAGTGAATACTAACTATTTGACATATATACATCATTTTTTATCAATACAAATAATTTGATTCATTGCATGTGATATGAAAACAATGAATCTTTTAAAAAGCTATTGCTAATTTTTTTTGTTTTGTTTCTTTTTTGTTGTTATTCATCCAACATTTTGAATAATTAGTAGTAAAACTACTTTTATTCTTTATCACGCGATTGACACCTTTGAAGTTTCGCTTGATTGAACTCTCTTATTTTATATTTACCCGATACTTCATTTCACTGAAATTACTTCCTTGTTTGCTCTTCTTCAACATTGAACTACATAGTTTATTGTGATAGATCAAATTACTGTTCATCGATTTCTAATTGACACACATGCATACTCATGTCAATATGCATCTGATATATATATATATATATATACATACATATATGTGTATGTCAAGAATAAAGGATTAGAGTTCATCAGCATCTTTATATTTATCTAACTCTATGAACACAAATACAATGTGCAACGGAAATCATGCATACTATACAAAACAACAAAAAAGAAAGTACAGAATTACTGATATTCATCATATTGAATAAATGTTTGAGTAGAATAAATTTATGTTCAATAGACAAATGATTGGTGCTAAAGAATTATTAATTAGATCATTGAAGAAAAGCTCCATTGTTGAGAATAATTTATCAATGGAAAGAATTCGATTATAATCATTGTTATTATATTGATTTTGATATAGTATTCTAAAGTAAATAGTTTTTTATTTGTATGAATAATTTTTATTTTTTTTTATTTATTATTTTATATGAAGAAAATACATCTTGTTAACATGTGACAATATTATGATTTTTTATTGAGAAAATATTTGTTTTTTTTTTCAATGTTTTTTAATTATCGTACGACATTCATTCGGTGTGGTTGATACACCAAGTCGTTTACGTTTTAAACCATTATTACTATTTTGTATTAAATTTTCATTTTGTTCAATATTACTTAATTTGTTTTGTTGAGATTGTAGTACCTGTGAACTATTGTATAATTCATCCCATGCCTGAAGATAAATATTTAATAAGATTTCAAGAAAAAATAAATAAATAAATAAACCAATTTACTTTACAAAGCTCATCATCATCAATATCATCATTAAATTGATCATATTCTTGTTTAATAGTAGATTGCAACATAATCTGTTCAGCACGTTGCATCGATGTGGATGAGATTGCAATTGGCTTAAAGAGAAATATAAATAAAAATTTTCTAAAAAAAAAAAATCTTTAACAAAATTATTTCAATATTTAGACGAAGGTAGGAAATGATAAGCGTTAAGAGATTAAAGAATAGAGTACGTCAGATAGGTCCCGATACTGATTCATCCGTAGCTTCCAAATTGCGAACAAAAATTAAGCCAATTAAGAAAAAAGTGTTCGCAATTTGGAACACAAAAATAACGTTGATCTTATTTTTATTGCGTTTCCAAATTGCGAACACTTTGATTAATTAGTTATTGTAATAGCTGAGTATGAGTTCAATTTTATTAATAATATAAATATAGAAGTTTGAGAATAAGAATGGTATCATTTCTTTTTATTTGACAAGTCAACACGAATTTGTCATTTGAATATATAATAATAAATGAGAATAATGATCAACGAAAATAAATAATAATATAATAATTTTTTTTTCCTTGTTATTATTGTATTTTCTTACAAATAATAAAAATATTTAAAAAAAAGAAAAAAAATTATTATATTATTTTTTATTTTCGTTCATCACTATTCTCATTTATAATTATATATTGAAATGACAAATTCGTATTGACTTGTCAAATAAAAAGAATTAAAACTATATTACTTAATTATAAAAAGTGTTCGCAATTTGGAAACGCAATAAAAATAAGATCAACGTTATTTTCTGTGTTCCAAATTGCGAACACTTTTTTCTTAATTGGCTTAATTTTTGTTCGCAATTTGGACATAGCCGATTCATCAGAATCAATCAATGTTTATTAATTATTGATGGACCCAAAGTCGTGAACATATTCTGTTGGATATTAATAATGTACAGTTGTGATTCACTCTATGTTGAAACTATCTTGAGATACTAGAAAAAAGAAGATAATCGATTAGGCGTTTGATGAGTTTTGAGTGCCACTGTGCAGTTGTGAACAAAATTCTCTCTCCTACCAAATTTCAGCTACTATAGATATTGAAGGTCTGAGAACCTATGTGCATATAATCAACTAAAAATATAGATCAAAGTCACCAGCTTGTCTCAATTGCCTAAAAACAACGGATTTCATTATTTACGATTATATTCCAGCTATGCACAGTATCAATTTCATCGAAGTCCATAACCCTCGCTAGAATGGTAGACATTTCACTGTAACTATTCGAAGGACGAAAAAGTTTCGGATACCCTTTGCAAATCGTAACTGAAACAACTTTTGTTCGTAGTTGAATATGATTGTCTACAAGTTCCAGAAAAGAATCTTTTTTCAAGGGAAAAGCCATCTCAGTAATCATCGTGTTAGTGCCAAGGATGCAAAGGCATCTAGAGACAGAAATTTTTTTAGCACACTATATGATCTTTTAGTTGACCAAAGACTACATGCTGGGCTTCAGTTACAAATAAACATATGAAGAATTTGTCATGTACTTGATAAAAGATAATGCAAAATTTATTCGATAGCTTTTTGCAATTAAAATGTTAGAAGCAAAAATTGGCACCATCTATCATAATTCTCGTTGCATGCATTTAAGCTATCGTGGCAACCTCATGCCTCTAATCTACAATCTTGATATAGTATGCGCACATAAATTTCCCACCTTTCGGCATTTAGGGAAGCTGAGAACCTGCTGGAGAACTTTTGTTCATTCCTGTATATGTGATGATTTTCTAAAAATTTGAGTCACGAAAACAACAATGACAACGTTTGTATTCAATAGATAAATCAATTTAATTTAAATTTTCCTGTCTTTGTTATCATTTGTTCACGTTATTACTAGCCGTCATAAACATTGCACTAGTTAGAAGTTGATTTTCTGACATAAGAATTTGAATATAGAATATCAACAAAAGTACTTCAAACGAGTTTTTATTTCCTAAGATAAAAAAAAGACAAAAAAAAAAAAAGCCAACAAATTCATTTAATTTTTAACAGCTTGTTGTTTTTGTACAAAATCTGCTTTATGTGTTCCATCACAAAAAGGTCTTTTTTTTGCTTGTTTACAATTACACCACCAAACATCTTTTGTTTCTTCTGCAACATATTTTATTGGTCGAAATTTTGGATTTCGTCGTACATCATGATTTCCCCATACACTTTTACACATTCCATCACAAAATGGTTGTGTATGTGCCCAACCACATGCACAATATATATAAGCTCGACCTTTTTCAACACGATATTTAAATGGAATTTTTTCATAAACACGTCCATAAGGTGGTCCTATTAATGAATATTCATCAATGAAACGTGGTCGTTCTAAAGGTAATGCAAGTTTTTCTTCATGAGTTTCAGGTATATGAATTGTTTGTTCAGGATGTGTTATATCAGGATAGGGAATTGTACGATGATTATATCGAATAATCGATAATAAAAAAGAAGATGGTCTAACTAGACGATATAAATTCATCTGAAAAAAAAATCAAGAGTAAGATAATCTATTATTTCCTTTTTCTCAATAAATGAACAAATTAATATGATTACTGTAAATATCGGTTATTAAATGGAACAAAACTTCATCGAATGAAAATGTATTTGTTTGAGCAAGGAAATAAAAACACAATAAAATATTTTTTTCTTTTCTTCATTTTTTTTTCTTTTTCTTTAAAAAAAAAACATTCAATTGTGTATTTTCTTTTTGACTGAAACTAGTAAATGTATTGCTTTTTTTTGTTTTTCTTTTTGACATTGCCTATTTAGTGACTTCATGAATAGCATTAGCTAAATATGCATTATTTTTTGATGTAACACCAGCCATTGAAATACGACCATCTTTTGTTAAATAAACCGAAAAATCTTTGATTAATCGTTCAGACTAAATTTAAACATTAATTAATAAGTTGCTTTTTGTTTGTTTTTTTTTTTTTTAGATTTTATTTTACCTGTTGTTGATTAAGTCCTGTAAAGCAAAACATTCCTATTTGATCAGTAATGTGTTGCCAATTTTTTTTTGAACCATTCTTTTTTAAATTATCAACTAATTGTTGACGCATTGTTATTATACGATCAGCCATTTGTTTAACTTCTTTTAACCATACTGAACGAAGATCTTGTTGATTTAATATTTTAGCTGCAATACGTGCACCATGTATTGGTGGATTTGAATACATTGGACGAATTAAAATTTTTATTTGAGACATAACTCGTTCGACTTCATCTTTATCTTGACAAACAACAGTAAATGCACCAACACGTTCACCGTAAAGACCTACAAAAAAAAAGAAAAACTTATTCAATGAAAAAACAAAATACGAAAAAAGACAAACAGAAATACCCATATTTTTAGCATAAGATTGTGCCAACATAAGATTATGTTTATCTTCAATAAATTTTCGAACTGCAAATGCATCATCATCAATATTTCCACTAGCAAAACCTTGATAAGCCATATCCATATAGACAAGTAATTTACGTCTTTTAACAATAGATGATAATTCTTTCCATTGTTCAGGTCGAGGATCAACACCAGTTGGATTGTGCTTTCAAAAGACAAAATAAAATGAATTGAATAAATAAAAGAAAAACAAAATCACATACTGCACAAGCATGAAAAAGAATAATTGAATTTTCTGGAATCTTTTCAATATCTTCTTTTGCACCATTAAAATCAAAACCACAAGTCTTTGGATCATAATATCGATATGATTTAACATCAAGCCCAGCATGTTTCATAATTGGTGTATGATTACCCCAAGATGGATTTGGTAAATAAATAATTTTATTTCCAGGAAAAAATTTTTCCTAGAAAAGTAATTAGCTTTTATTTTTATAATATAAAATAATAAATCATTAATTTACTAAAAATGCAGCTCCTATACGAAGTGAACCTGTTCCACTAATACCTTGTACAGTAGCAAACTAGAGCAAAAAACAAAGACAAATTATAAATAAATAATAATTGCTTGTTTGCGTACCAATTGATCTTTAATAACTCGTGAATTGTCACCAAAAGCTAATTTTGCACTTGCTTGACAAAATTCTGCTACACCAGATATTGGTGCATATTCTTTATCGAGACTTTCAGTTGTAATTAATTGTTCTGCTTTTTTAACACTTTCAAGAACAAATGGTTTACCTTCGTCTGTACGATAGGCTCCAACACCCAAATTAACTTTAAGAAATATTGTTTTTTATAGGTTATTAAAAATGATTTATTTTTGTTTTTTACTTTTTTTTGGATTAGTATCACGTTTAAATGCTTCCGTAACGCCAAGAATTGCATCAGGTGGACCCATTTCGACATTGGACCACCATGCACTAAAGAAAAATGAATAAGATTTTTTCTATAATAAAAAAAACAATTCAAAATCAAAAATTTTACTTTGTCGAAGCAAGACGGGAAAATTGAGATAGAATCCATAATTGATGTTTACTTGTTAAACTAAGTGTTCGGCTAACACTCATATTTATTAAAGTATCGGTTCAAAAAAAAATCTAAACCAAAAGAAATATGTCAGTGTATAATCACAGAGAATTTCAATTAATATTTCAAAGCAAAACACAAAATAAAATCATTCAAATGATTGGTCTCGACCGCCCATTCGAATCAATTACCAGTACATTTTGATATAATCCTCATCATCGCATTGCTGACTAACTAACTACATATGTCCAAGGACTTGAATAAATGAATAGGAGCAAAGTTTATTTATAGAGGACGCTAATATCCGTTATAATAGAAAAAATATTCGTTTGAAGTTTAACTTGTTTTTCTTTTAAATATGTACTTTTCCGCTTTATTTGATCCGATAAAAATCATTCCTTGTTATACTTGTAACTTACTTTTTCAAATAAATTTAGATGGTGTTTGAATGCAGTAAACTTAAATTTAACTAAAATACTAATGTTTTTACTAAGATAATTTTGAATTTGACTTCATGTTATTTTTAATATCTCATATTTAACTTTGAGATTACGATATATGTTATAAGAGTATCATATTTTTCTTTCGTGTTCTTCGACAATTTCAAAAGTATAAAATATAAAGATATTTCGTTATGGGAAACTCGGTTATCAGCTGTTTTTCTATTCTATAATGATTGCTTCGTTATTATGCATATTATCGGATATATGAAAATTGGTCTGGATATTGCTAATGGTATAAAGGGTATTTAATAAGTTTTGATCTATTTCAAGTAATATTCTTTTCTTATATGTTTTTTTTCAGAGACTGCTTGACGTTCAATGAAAGAAAAAAATTGAGAGAGGAAAAATTTGAAAATGAATCAGAATTGGAGAATCGAGTCGTACAAAAATGGAAAAAGCGAGCAAAATAATGGGAAAATTATCAAGTCGATCGATACAAGTGATAGATCAAGATAGAGAGTAGATAGATACTTAGGGTGTACCAAAAGTTCTGATCACGGCGTTACTTAGCCATATAGTAAGCTTTAAAAATCTTTCTTTCTATATAAGCCTGATAGAGAAAAGAATGCTCTATTTTTCTATGCTATTTGATCATACTTCAACTAATATTATGATAATAAATTTTGGATAAGACTTTTTCCGTTANTTTTTTATACAACCTACTCTGATCGAGGCCTTCATTTGGGCAAAGTTTCAGGTCAAAATTCGAAAATATGATTTTGCTGTAGAACTAGGGTCCAGCAGGAAAAATCCACTAAAAATTTGATATCTCTGTCAAATCTCAATATGGGCACGAATCCTTTGGAGGTTTCTCTAATCTAGTGGTCGCCTACCTAATGGGCAACATATGAGCTCAAAAGCTTTTAATCACTTGGGAACGTTCCCTCGTAAGTACATTCCATGTCGGTATAGTATACTATGAATTCTTATAAAATAGTAATAAAGAACGAATTTCGTCGTACAATTTTTATTGCATAATTTAACTTGATATTCCAGTCAAAGATCATAAAGATCTAAAATAGATTTGCTTCTTGTTATTAAATACAAATTTGTTTGTATACATATTATCAATTTGATCAATTTTGTCAGATAAACAGATCATATATGTCCTACTTTTAATGTTGATGTAAAATTTAATATGCAGGGTGTTCTATAAATTTTGAGGAGTGATAAAATTAGTTTACATAGAGACAGAAAATAATGCTTTTACATTAGTCTTGAGTATTCTTGTCAATTTTTCAAATGACATTTTATTGAATAGGAGCCTCTCTTGTGATAATAAAACATGAGGATAAATTTTTTGTAACCGATTAACGTAATTTTTTTAAAAACTATTTATCTCTATTCATTTATCCGACGCTAATCAGGAACCACTAGTAATATGTTGTTCAGTCAAGCTATATACCTCAGTAACCGGATTGCAATAGATAAAATAATGCTCGAGTTTTACTTCAATAACGTGACACTAAATTTGACTGACATATGGGTCTACTGGAAGTGTATAAAGAATATTGAAGGAAAAAATACGAGAAAAACCATTTCCAAATTTCAAACAAATAAAAACTAGATTGAACAGAAAATTAAAAAAAAAAACTTTTGATGATCGATAAAATTTCTAAGAGACTTGACGAATTAATAAAAAAAAAAGTGATGCATAACAAATGCGTAATAGTCAGATAAGGTTTTTACGTAATCAGATTAATATAAGAGTGTTTTTCATTCTTTTTTTTGATAAAATATTATTTTTGATTGATTGCAAAAAAATTTATCCTTATTTATTATCACAAGAGAAAATATTCTTCAAGAATATGTGACTTGAAAAACTGGCATGAGTACTCAAAATTCATACAAAAGGATTATTTTCTGTCTGCATATAATTCAATTTCATAACATCTAAAGACATATGAAACATCCTGTGAAATTGTGAGAAACTTGTAATGCGTCATTAATTTACTAATACAAAATCATGATTCAGCTGGTAAATGTTTAAGATCAATGCCTAACATATTCTGAGTAATTATCACATACTTTACATGTTCTAGACAAATAAAATTTGTTTATAACGGATAACCCAAAAAATAAAGGCCTTAGTTGTATTTTATATTTTTCTCGGCAAGCTTTCACTGTTGCGAGGTGTCTAATATCACAAGATTCTTCTTTTAATTCTCAACGAAATTACATCAGAACATTTTATTTAAGCTTTTTATCGAAAAAAGTGGTCAGATGGTATCACACGCTTGCAATGTGTGTGACTTTCTAACAAAAAGTTTTATGTTTCAGCTATGTTCAAACAATTCTCACATCAACGTCTACTACCATTTATGAGTCATCCGTGAAAGTCAAATTTCTGAAAAACATTCGTTCATCAATTATTATTCTATCATTTTTACAAATCATTAAATAACAGTACCAATTGATATGTTTTCTTTTTCAAGATAAATCAAATGAAGATATTCGAAATAAAAAAGAAAAACAAATCAGGTCAAGGATGAACATTTTTCTTTCAAATTCGAAAGATATTCATATTATTTGTATTGTGTCCTTGCTCATCTATATTGAACAATGACCATAAATACATCCACACATGCATGTACATGAAAAAAAAACGTGACGATAAACGGAAAACAGAAAAAACAAGGATGCAGAGGCCATTCAAGGAATAAGAAAAAAAAGAAAGCTTTAATAATCATACACAGAAAACAACTATGTACAAAAAGAGGAAAAGGAAAAAAAAACAGAAGACACATTTACTGATGTATCGAGTCACAAAAAAAAACGAAGAAAAAGAAAAACAAATAGAACACTATATGTATTCGAAAAAGGTAAGGAAACAGAAAAAAACGAGACACAAATGTAGGCATGTTTGAAACTAATCACCATATAGGTGGCGGAGGTTGCTGTTGATTATGATTATTATTTTGCTGAACATATTTGGCTAATTGTGCTGGTGGTCGAAAACGATTTACATTATTCTAAAACAATAGATTTTAATATTATTTTATCATAGTTCATTAGCAATTTGTTTAAATCTGTTGTCTCTACTAACGTCTATTAATTTAGAGTGATTCATATGTTCTATGTCTATCTAAAAGCAATATTGTATGTATATTAAATATGACCTCTAATTCAATACATTTATTATTTCATTTTTTAATAAGACCGTAAATGATTGGAAATGAAATAACAACAGAAATCTATAGAGACGTTTTGTGAATAATTATTTATATGAGTAGTCAAATTAAAGTTTTAAATGTATTAGAGTACTAAACGCAATGCATAGATTATATTCTTGACTTCTATGAACCGTTTATTCAATCTATATTTTATTAACCAGAAAAATAAGTAGTTCATTAAAAAATTTTAATTGTGAAATACATTTATTGTTGTATTGAAATAGAACACTATTCTCAAATTTTGGCATCTTATAAGTATCATTACAACTAATATCATTAATAGTATAGATCCTAAGTCTAATGTAAATCTCGTACAGTTCAGATCAATTGCAGTGTAGTCGCTCTGAACTCTCCTACTAATTGTTGATGAAAAGATGATAGAAAATCTCCTGAAATTGATTTCATACTTTATTCTCTAACATTGTATCCATTTAGTATAGCTACAAGTTTAAAATCATCTACAAATCTATTTCTACTACATTTAAAATAAAACAATAATAACTGCAAATTATTTTACCTTTTTCTTTTTTGATTTAAGAATATTTTCATCTCTTTCAAATAGTCCAATGGATCTTCCATCGATAGTTCCTTGTTCATTACGTAATGCTGATGCAATACGTTTTGCTGCTGTTTTATTTAAATGATGTACATCACGTAAATGTCCAGTTAAATAACGTAATTTAACTGTTGATTGGCATGGTGTATGTGGTATACGTTCTTGATGCGGTAAAACAGCATTATAATTACTTAATGGACATGATACATATGCTGTTTCATTTAAAACTTGTTCATCAGGTCGAAATAATATTCGTTGACTAGAATTTTCATTTTTCATCATAGCTTTAACTAATTTCATAGCACTTGCACGATTTAATTGATGATATGCAAGAAAATGATCATATAATGCAAAATCTTGTTGTTCAACTGTTGGTGAACATAAACGTATACCATGCATGGGTCCAATACCAAATACATTATGTCGTGTTAATGGACATGGTGCACGGAAAAATGATGGAAGTATTGAAACAATTGATGATTCATTTGCTGAAGAAAATAGTGTTGGATGATCATCAAGATCACCGGATGAGACAAGACGAACAATTTGCATTGATGCTGCATAATTTAAATAGTGATATTGTTTAAGATGTTCAAACAATGATATTTGAGAATTTGAACGACGTATACATGGAATATGACGAACTTGATGACGTCGTTCAATACCATATGTATTTGTTGTTAATGGACAATAGTCACATTTGTAAGTTTTTAATTCTCGAACCTACGAAAAAAAGAAGAATGTGTTTTTTTTGTTAGACAAATCAGAATTTCAGATGATGCAAAAAAAAATACCGTTAATGAATTATG